CTACGTATTTTTTTATGAAGAAGAGGTTATAGGGTAGTGTCGGAATAACAGTATCAAGCAGATCATCCATGACATATTCTGCCAAAATTGGTGACAGAACAGATCCCATAGGACAACCATGTGTTTGAGAATATATTTTGTTGTTGAAAGAGAAATAATTGTTATGAAAAAGGAATGTTATAATGTAGGTGAAAGATTCTAGAGATATGTTGCAGTGTTGACTTATCTCATTCCAGTGTTTATTAATAGTTCTTGTACATGCATCCAGATAGATGTTGCTGAATAGCGACACCACATCAAGACTGGCGATAATATGATCGGCTGGTATTGTCAATCTGTTGAACTGACGAGAGACTTCAAATGAGTCTTTGATGTAGTAATCATTATCTGCATGTGCTGATTTTGGTGTTGTCGATATTAATGAAGACAAAGCCTGGGTGGCTGAACCTATTGATGCAACTATAGGTCTTACTGAGAGTACAGGTTTGTAAATTTTCGGAAGTGCATAAAATTTGGGAGGGACAGAGTTATAAGTAGTCAAAGTTCTTTTTTATATAACTCTGTCCCTCCCAAATTTTATGCACTTCCGAAAATTCACAAACCTGTACTCTCAGTAAGACCTATAGTTGCATCAATAGGTTCAGCCACCCAGGCTTTGCCTTCATTAATATCGACAACACTAAAATCAGCACATGCAGATAATGATTACTACATCAAAGACTCATTTGAAGTCTCTCGTCAGTTCAACAGATTGACAATACCAGCCGATCATATTATCGCCAGTCTTGATGTGGTGTCGCTATTCAGCAACATCTATCTGGATGCATGTACAAGAACTATTAATAAACACTGGAATGAGATAAGTCAACACTGCAACATATCTCTAGAATCTTTCACCTACATTATAACATTCCTTTTTCATAACAATTATTTCTCTTTCAACAACAAAATATATTCTCAAACACATGGTTGTCCTATGGGATCTGTTCTGTCACCAATTTTGGCAGAATATTTCATGGATGATCTGCTTGATACTGTTATTCCGACACTACCCTATAACCTCTTCTTCATAAAAAAATACGTAGATGACATTATTTTATGCCTCCCTTCCATAGGTCTGGATGGTATTGTCAGAGAATTCAACAGCTATGACCCCTACATCCAATTTACCATTGAAAAAGAAGATGAGAACCTGTCCGTCCCCTTTCTAGACACAAGACTCATTCGCACCAACAACAACAGTTTATTGGTAGACTGGTACCAGAAACCTATGGCCTCAGGTCGGTTTCTCAATTTTAGGTCATACCATAAGCTAGGGATTAAAATCAATTTGGTAAAACAGATGAAAACAAGGGTAATCAGCATCTCAGATAATACCTTCCACACCTCAAATTTACGTAAACTATCAAAACTGTTCATCAATAAAGGTTATCCGAAGTGTCTGATTAACAAGATCTTATTTAGTTCACCTTCCAATATTTTGCCGAACTCTGGTGATGCAGGTAATAGTCGCACAACCCCTAATAACGGAACTGATGTAATTCCCAATAATAACATCAATCCTAACAGTACAAGCACCAACCCGGACTCCAGACCTGGTTTTGCTGTCCTGCCCTATATCAAGGAACTGACCCCTAAGCTGATCAGATTGTGCAGTCCTTTGAACTTTCGAATTGCTTGCAAATCCGTCCTCACTATAAACTGCATTTTTTCAAAAATGAAAGACAAAGTCCCGCTGCTTGGCTTAACCAACACAGTCTACTCCATCAATTGCAACAATTGCAACCAAATATACATAGGTCAGACCTCCAGATCTCTTAAAGGAAGGATTACATCACACAAAAGTGATGCTAGGCTTCATCCTGAAAGATGCGCTCTAGCATCTCATGTTAACACAACAGGGCATTCTATGAATTACACAAGTATCAAAGTTCTTGATAAAGAAAAACACCTTTCCAAACGTTTATTCCTGGAAATGTCCCACATATTCATGAATAACAACTGTATCAACAAAAAGACAGATGTTAAACAACTGAGTGTCATTTACTCATATTTGCTAAACTGCGAAAAATTGGAGAACTTACATATCTCCCCAAATTTCGACTCTTCACAACCATAATTAGAATCTGTGTTTTGGCCGATTCCACCAGTAAATTTCATTCCACTCAAAATATAATAATTCTCTTCTCACGATTTATTAATAATTGTTAATTTAAATTCCCATTAATTAAAATATAGTTTATTCAACTGCCTCTGGTCGGTTTAACAAATTCTTACATAAAATTCTGAAAATCACATCATCTGAAGTGATTTGGCAACGTTTGGCACACGCCCACAATTCGTTCCATCTTTCAACACAGACATTGACATCCTTCGGCCTTCTGTCAAAGGGTTTCATCTCACTCATTATTCCATGACCACTAATTTGTGCAATCATCAAGTGGCTTCACGATGTAATGCTCTAATGTTTTTTAAATAATTTTTAATCTGTTTTTAACTTGTTCTTGTCATATTTTATATAAATTTGACCATTGTACAATCTATCCAGCTCTCACCATGTTACTGGACGTTTCCCTCATCCTATACGTAAACAACAATTAGCAACATCCTCACATACTACTGTAAGTTGAGTCAATTTTAATTCATTTTACACTTTTGTTGCTACTGTTATCATTGTAATTGCAGCTCCTGATGATGATGGCAAAGTCCATTGAAAGCTAGAGAGAATTAAAAAAAGTATAAAGAGTCCTCTTTGCTTAAATTTTGTCGAAGTACCCAACAAAAGGCGGAAGCAACTGAGTATCATTTATTCAACAGCGAAAAATTGGAACGACTACATACTCCACTTAGTACAGTATCCTATATACACATATAATTATATGCAGCCAAAAATGTGACTTGTAATGTCACGTGGTCCTGTTAAGGGGTGATAGATTAGGTCAAGTTATCCATTTTTGAGTTATTTGAATTTTAAGTTTTTTATTTTTTATTCCGATTTCAGACGGTTAAAATTAAAATACAAAAAAAAACTGCATGCTTGATTTTGATTTTTTTCTTATCGTCGCATAGCAGACATTCCAGTAGTTCATAATAAGTAATAAAATGTTGAAAAGCTACAAGCGTTTTAAAATCACGCTTTTTAAATGTATCATTTTCTTTTTTTTTACTAACTTATTCGGTAAAAAATGCAATTTTCTGTAAAAAATCTGCTAGTAATGAAATGTGCAATTTATGTAAATAATATCTCTATCTAACAAGCTTTCATTTGAGGTATTAAGCGTTCAATTATCTGAAGTACATGCAGAGAAACAACAATGACACCCACAGAGGCTGGATTTTTAAGAAATTTGTATTACCTGTTTGAACAAGTCGTTACTGTCCTCAAAGGACTCGCATGCCATGATTGTTTTATGGCATCGGTTCTACGAGGAAGCGAGCGAGAAGAGCTGACTTAGTGGAGGAGTGAGAGAGAGAGAGAGAGAGAGCTGTTATGTTATTATTCATCATTGTAGTTACGCCATCGCCGCACGCCGGGTGAGAATTAGGTTTAGTTGGTATCAACTACTGCGTACGCGCACACGTTTTACGCAAGATTATTATTTTCGAGTTTCCCAGTTCATTTGGAGTGGTTTCTTTATCATCATGGCAGAGGCAGAAGATCCGCCAGGACCTCGCCATAGCGAGCACGGGCAAACTTTTACAAATGAAGAATACGCAGACATAATAATCTGTTATGGACTTTGCACCGGCGATTCTGCAGCTGCCCGCCGTGAATATCGGCAACGTTTCCCGAATCGCCTAACACCTCATCTTACTGTGTTTGACTCTGTGTATCGGCGCATCCGCCAAACCGGACGTGTTCAAAGGCAACATAGTGATGCTGGTCGACGCAGAGTCTATCCTCCTGAAGATGAAGAGGAAATCCTTCGTGTGTTTCAGGAAGACCCTACTACGTCTACGCGCATTGTGGCTGCTCAGTTGGGTATATCACAATACAAAGTATGGTTTACTGTGCATACTGCAAGATTATACCCTTATCACTTTACACCTGTACATGTGATTGAAGAGGGTGATCCTGCAAGAGGATAAGATTTCTGCAGGTACATGTTACATGCAGATACAGAAGATCCAGACTATTTTAAGAAAATTCTGTGGACCGATGAATCGAAGTTTGTTAAGGACGGGATCACTAACTACTATAATGCTCATTACTGGGCTGATAAAGAAGCTTTAAATCCCCAAAAAATAAAACCGACGGGGTCTCATAGCCGGTTTTCAGTCAATGTGTGGATGGGCATCATTGATGGATATTTAATTGGACCTCATTTTCTGCCCGCCAATTTAAATGGAGAAGTGTATGAAGAGTTCTTGAAAAATCACTTGTTTTCGTTAATGGAAGACGTCCCATTGGCGACGAGACAAAATATGCGGTTCCAGCACGACGGCTGTCCCGCACACTACAGTAGATTAGTACGGGCGTATTTAGACTCTAAATTTCCAAATCAATGGATTGGCAGAGGCGGGCCAGCAAGAAGCCCAGATCTCACACCGATGGATTACTATGTGTGGGGACATATGAAAAGCCTGGTGTACGATGTTTCGCCCGTACCAACGCGCGATGAATTAATTACAAGGATAATCAGCCGCTTAACAACTAGAGTTACCAAAAGTGAATTACGTAAGAGAATGCGGGCGTGTACTCGCAACAGGGGATTAAAATTTGAGCAGAATCTGTAAAATACTAAAAGAAATGTAATTGAATAAAACTGTAATTAAAAAAAAATCCTTTTATTCATCCTACGTAATTATCGTTCGTACAACTTTACTCATCTTTTTTAATTTTATGTCTTTGTACTTGAGTTAGTTGTAACTTTCATACCTCAAATGCAGTTCCGCTTCGGCTGTCTTCCGAAAAAGACGTACCTGTATCGGAGCGATCATAATATAGTTAGCGAGGGTTACCGGGTTCTATATTGATTAATTAAATACATTTTCTAAATATGCCTCCACCTCCTACAGGGGTGGGAGGCCCCAGTGGTAGTGACACTAATGTGAACATTGCTGTGTATGATTTAACATTTAGTGAAGATTCTCCTCAATGTGAAATAAATTCCAGCGTCAACTCGAGCGAATACAACGCTGCGATAACAGAGGACCGGCGTACCATCTCAGAAAAAAAACAACAACAACAACCACGACTGTTTGAGATTGAAAACGCTAAGTATTACTCAAATAATAATATTTATGTGTTTATTGAGAAGACCAACAGCCAAAATATTGGCAGACTACATCCGCTTCACGTAGGACATATACTCCACAAAAACCTTAAATTGAATGATAAAATAACGACTATTAGCCGCGTCGGCTTAAATCGTATAAAAGTAGGTCTCAAAAATTTGAACGATGCTAATCACTTAGTTTGTAACACTGAACTCGCAGCAGAGAATCTAAAAGCATACATCCCAAATAATTTATTAATAAGAAAGGGTTTAATCAAGGGTGTTGATACTCAGTTTAGTGAGGAATATTTAAAAGAAAATATAATTTCTGATATAAGCGTACTGGAGGTCAAGCGTCTAAAGAGAAAAATTGTTAGTGATGGCACTCATCAGTTAGTTCCTAGGCAAATGGCAGTTGTCACATTTAATGGCAATATGCTTCCCAACGAACTTTATATAAACAGCGTGCTATTTCAAGTTGAGCCATTTGTACAAAGGGTAATACAATGCTATAAATGCTTGCGTTTTGGACATGTTTCTGGACAGTGTCGCAGTACTCACTCCAGGTGTATTATATGTGGCCAAGTCAAAGAGGATGAACACACATGTAATGAAACCAATACTTACTGTCTTTTCTGTAAAAACTCTTCGCACAGATCCACATCAAAAGATTGTCCTTCGTTTCAGAAGCAACAAAAAATTAAAAAGACCATGGCCACATCAAATCTACCCTTCACAGAAGCCAAAGAATTTATAGAACACTCTTACTCAAACCATGTTTCAACCTCCAATAGATTCCAAGTATTGGAAAATATCAACGAAGTAACCTTCCCACATCTCCCTAGCCGCCCTCAAACAATTTCTCCTAGCAGGCAACATGTTCATCAGATGACAAATACTGGACCTTCCTCTATAGCATTTAGTGCAAATAAAAAACGTAAAGCTCAATCACCCCCCATAAATTTTCCGACAGAGAAACATTTTTTTAGTGCAGGACCTCCTAATCCAGTAAGTTCAAGTAGGATCTATCAGTCGAATATTTCAGAAAAAAACGAAATGGTTGACATAGTTTCAAAAATTTTTTTTTAACTTGTAAACAAATCCGAAAACTTAGGTGATCTTAAGAAAATCAATAATAATACATTGAAAAACGAAATACATTGCATAATAGATAAGTTAATAAATTCCACTTAGCGTCTTCAATAATACCGATAATGTGCTAAAGGTGATGCAGTGGAATGCACGTTCCGCTGTGTCCAATCGAAACAGTTTGAATATGTTCCTTTCAAAAAATGATATTGACGTAGCCCTAGTAAGCGAAACTTGGTTCAAGCCAAACGATACTATCAGATATCATGGCTACAATATTGTGAGGAGGGACAGAATTGATGGCAAAGCTGGTGTAGCCATTTTTGTGAAAAAAGGTATAAAATTTTGTGAAATATCATTTTCGAATAATTTTAATGATGATATACTTGTATGCGGGATAAATCTTATTAACCAAACTTTTGATTTAACTTTGTTGTCTATATACAGGCCCCCGAACATCAATTCAACAGCTGGTGATTGGGACACAATCTTCTCTAATACCAGCATATCTTCTATTATTGGTGGAGACTTTAATGCTCACTCTCATCTCTGGGGATCCTCATTTAATAATTCCATAGGTTATCAGTTAATAAATATATGCGAATCAAAGAATTTAGTCGTTATGAACGATGGTTCGCCTACTAGGCTTGTAGCTCCAAATCAGCAGGTAACTGCTCCAGATGTTACAATCTGCTCCCGAGATATTGCACAAATAAGTCATTGGCAACTTACTTCTGATACATTAGGTTCGGACCATTTTCCTATTCTTATGTTTATTCCTCTATCTTTCCAAGTATATGACACAATCTATCCTAAGTATAAGTGGAATATGAAAAAAGCCAATTGGAGTTTGTATCATGACTTATTGGAAGATATTTTCGATTCTACTCCAGAATTTTACTCCACTCAAAGTAAATACGATTATATCATTGAAAAGATCAATGATGTTAGCGAGATCTCCATCCCTATACTAAGGCCATTTAAAGCTAAGAAACGGCCACCCCCTCCTTGGTGGGATGAACAGTGTATAAGTGCCATAGCACAAAGGACCTCAGCTTTAGCAACGTACAAACAGGACAGTTCTTTAGCCAACTTCGTCCACTGCAAGAAGGTATTTGCTGAAACAAAGAAACTCTTCAAACAAAAATCAAAAAATAGCTGGAAAGCATGGATATCTAAGTTGAATAAAAATACGTCATCAACCGATCTCTGGAAACAGGCTAAAATAATCAGAAGGATACCCATGGGAAAGAAAGCATCAACTGATTCTGATTGGGCAGACGACTTCCATAGAAAATGCTCTCCGTCCTTCGTGGCTGCAGAAGTCGAATCTCCCCCACGTTTACATCAAGACAACTTTTTCAGCAGACCTTTCAACATAACGGAACTAAATCTTGCAGTTAAAAATACCAGAAACACATCACCTGGCTGCGATGATATCACATATCCAATGCTCGTGAACCTCCCATCTAATGCAAAACTATTCCTTCTGGATATATTTAACAACATTTGGCTGAATGCAGACACAATTTGCCAATGGAAAAACATCGTTATAGTTCCAATTTTGAAGCCAAACATGGATCCCAATTGCGCTGACTCATATCGCCCGATATCTCTTTTATCCTGCGTCATGAAGACTTTTGAAAGATTGATCAAAAATCGCCTGGAATGGTGGTTTAGATCTCATCCACTTCCCAACAACCAATATGCCTTCAAGAAAGGAGTTGGAACAGCAGACGCTATTACGAATATTGTCACCGACATTCAGATGTGTTTCACGCGAAACAACTACTTAGCAGGCATCTTCATAGACATTACAGGTGCATATGACAACATCAATTTAAACATACTTCGAAACAAAGTGGAAGAATTTGGCATCCCACCTCACTTTAGTTTTACTGTAACAAACCTATACCGTGATAGGAATATTTTTCTACGCAACGACAGTGGCGGAAAGATTGGACCACGACTAGTGTAGGAAGGTATCCCACAGGGCGCAGTTTTAAGCCCAATTTTATTCAATATCTTTTCGGCAGACTTACATGATGTGCAAACCCCATGTCAGCTGGTCCAGTATGCAGACGATATTTGTGTATATATAGAGAACCGTCAACTTAATCAATGTATATCTACGCTAAATTCTTCAATGGAACACTACAAACAGTGGCTAATGGAACATGGTTTCGACATATCGTTGAAAAAATCATCCTTTTGCGTTTTCTCACGACACAATGTATCATTACAGAGGAACATACTACTGGGAGGGTTATCCTTCAAAGTTGAAACTTCTGTCAAATATCTCGGCGTAATCCTTGACAAAAAGCTCACATGGAAGCCGTATATCGAACAAGTAGTCAGTAGATGTGAGAAAGCCTTCAATTTTTTTCCAGATGATCTGCAAGGTATGGTGGGGCTCCGATCAAAAGATCGCAATATTATTCTTCAGATCATATGTTAGATCTGTCCTTGATTATGGCAGCATATTCAATGGCTCCGCCAGTAAAAATCTCCTTCATGTGCTAGATATAACTCAGAATAAATTTCTCAGGAAATGTCTTGGAGCAATGCAATCGTCACCAGTCGGACCTTTGCGAGCAGAAGCACAGGAGCCTCCTTTACATCTTCGAAGGCAAATGTTATCTAGCAGATTTCTACTTAAGGTACAACACGCGGACAGCCACTTACTGAGCAAAATTCATCGTCTAAACACCATGGACTTGACATGCAAATATTGGACCAAAAGAAACTCCCCGCCTCTATGCAGTGCCATACAATATGCCAACAGAATACAACTAACCTCTCATAGCCAACGATTGATCCAAGGTATAAGTTACTTTCATTTACTATCAGGATTTGATGTTAGAGTACCAGCTTACAAGCAACAACCACACCACATTCAGAACCTACTTCGTGAAGTGCATGCATGCATGCATTCATTTACACCGATGCATCGAAGTCGGCGTCAGGAACGGGATGCGCTCATTATATTCCTTCAATAGATATTTTTTCCATGTTTAAACTACCAGATGAATTCACGATTTTTTCTGCAGAAGCTATTGCTATATTCCAAGCCCTACAGTTTGTAGAGGACCACAATCTTGGTAACACGTCTATATTCTCGGACTCCCTCTCTGTTGTCAGTAGTTTAAAAAACGGCAGTCCTTTCGATATGCAAAATATACACTTATTCAACATAAGATGGAAAATAAGTCAGCTAAAACAACGAGGCCTCAGGATTACACTAGTTTGGGTGAAGGCCCACTCTGGGATAATACACAACGAAAAAGCTGACGATCTAGCAAAGATGAGTATAACATCTGGAACTAAGCTGGACATACCCTTAAGCATGCAAGACAATCGAGTGATACTTAAAGGTAATTTGCTCAAGCGATGGCGCAGTGAATGGTTAGAATACTGTTTTACTAATCCTACAAGATACAACCTCATACACCCTAGCCTGCCACGAGGATACTGGCACGAAAATTTCAAAATACCCAGAAAATATATTTCTTGCATTACCCGTGCGAAAATAGGACATGGTGTTTTTCCATCACACCTTGCAAGATTAAATTTGGTCCCATCTGCACTGTGCGATGTTTGTGAAGTTTATGGTGACTTGGATCACTGTTTCTTTGGTTGCGCTAAATTCCTGGATCACTGCAATGCACTCTACTCCGATTTGGTGAAAACTGGCACATCTGCCCCCCTAAATACATCTCATGTATTTTCGCTAGGTAGATCTGATGTGATCATTCTCATTGTTAAATTTATCAGAAATTCTGGCATCAAAATATAACAATCGTATTTTAGTTATCCTCTGTTTTTTGTACCTTTATGTATAAATATATCCTTCATATCCGTGGCCTAATTGTTGTATGTGAAAAATGAAAAATGCCCTGACGGGTCCCTGGGCGAGAAGAACGTGTGTCCCTGTCTGACCCATCCTCTCTCCTACCCCTTAGAGTTGCATAGGTTTAATATGTAGTTATGGTGTCCCTTAGACACGAATGTCATCTGAAAATTTGTGTGTAATGCTTAACCCCCGCCCCCTCCTGATAACACTTTCTTAGTTCTTCTATATTAACTTTTTTGTTTTTCATCCAGAGTGGAGAGTGTGCATTAGAAGAAATTTAATAATCAATTTCTCCCTACTGTTTGTTAAGTACTTGCTCCTTCGCCCAAATACGACTGTGTCACCAAAATGTCTTTCCTGCAATATCCTGATAGCTGAGGGGATCTGCTTGCTACGTCATTACCATTTTACACGTCTTAAACTATATATGTGTGTATGATATAATAGATAAATACTTGATTCTGGCTAATGGGGCAATGTCCTAGTGCCAAAAAAAAAAAAAAAAAAAATACCTCAAATGAAGGCTTGTTGGATAGAGATATTATTTACATAATTTGCACATTTCATTACTAGGAGATTTTTTACAGAAAATTGCATTTTTTATAGAATAAGTTAGTAAAAAATAAGAAAATCGTACATTTCAAAAGCGTAATTTTAAAACTTGTGTAAGTTTTCAACATTTTATTACTTATTATGAACTATTGGAATGTCCGCTATGCGACGATAACAAAAAACTCAAAATCAAACATGTAGTCTTTTGTATTTCAAATTTAACCGTCTGAACTTGGAATAAAAAATAAAAAAAAATAAAATTCAAATAACTCAAAAAAAAAACTTCTGGATAGGACATTATAGGACAAAATCGGTTTCTTTTGACATAATTTATCACACCTTAACAGGAATACGTGACATTACAAGTCACGCTGTTTATATATATACAGGGTGACTTTGAAGTTGAGTCATTAATTTTCAGATAATGATTGTAGAAGGAAGATAAACCAAAATATGTGTGTGAAAATAAAAAAAAATAAAAAAAAATGTTACCTTGTTTTATAAAGTAACCTCCCGACAAGTATTTCAGTGCGGACCTGTATTTGATCGTGCGGTCTTGGAGCACCGGCATGCCCTCCCCTGTGAGGTTTTAAGTCACCTGATTCACGAGCCCTTTGTACTACATTAACAAAGACACGAGGGGTTGGTTGCACTCGATTGGGAAACCGATCCGCATAAATCCGTGATGCCGCGGCAGCATTTTGTAAAGACTCCCCCCCCCGTAAATAAGAATTATGTCCACGAGTTCACCATTTCCGTAAACATGTGCCATTTTGTATTTCGTTTGAGCCACGCAACAAACACAACTATTCACTCACGCGTTACCGACTGACACATTGACTGAATACAACTAAAAACATCGTGTTAAGCGTTTCAAATTCTTTCGCTTTTTTGTTTCCGATGCGATGAACCGATAAGGCGGATTATATCCGTTGTTGCCAAACACGAGAACATAATATTATTATTGAGACAGGGCGATACTCAAACTTCTAAAGGGCTATAACTTTGTTACTTTAATTTTACCAGAAAAATGTTAAAGGAAAAAAACATTTCTTTTGATCAGATCTACTAACTGTTAAAATAAATGACTCAACTTCGAAGTCACCCTGTGTATATATATATATATATATATATATGTATGCGAGCAGTAGTCATTGCCATTGTCAACGACCAGTTGGGCAAGAAATACAATTAATTATTAATTGGGAAATTGGCAAACTTTAGTCTTAGTGAACTCTTTTAATGGTAATCTCGAGCTTTCGGCACGCTATGGTGCCATCATCAGGAGTAGAAACACAAATATGAGGCTAGCAACCAATACAGAAAAGATTTAAATTTTCAGACAACTTACTCGTCGCTGAGATTGCAGCCAAATAGTGTTTCAAAACGAAAACGTGGATGAGAGCACTTGTTGCAAATGTAAAGCAAAAAAGACGGACACATTGGGTTTGTTGGTAACAACGGAAATCATAGTTAGGTGTTACCACTATATATCAATACACCCGAATAAATTAAAAATTGTCTAACATTTTCAAATTATTACAAAGTAGTACTGCATTTTGGGGGAAAACAGCAGAGTCCCTTCTAACCTCCTACGTCTGTTTCACTTGGAGATAATGCGTGAACCGGAAGATTGACGCGTCGACAGATGACCGTCGCGAAAAAATGTGGAAATGTAAAAATCATTGCCAAATTTCAGGTGTAGTGTATACGAGGGACGCTCGGAAAAAGCTTTTCATATTTCTAAAATTGCTGGATTAGTTTTGCTTTGGAAAAGTGTAATTAATATGAGTGTAAGACGGTAATACATGCTTGAAAAGATGGGTTGTGTGAAGATATATTAATATTTATTATTGCTGTGAGACATTGAAAAAATTTGTTCCAATTAACAGGATACAATTGAAAATTTGTTCAAATTTTCGAAGGATGTTAGATTAACTGGAATATGCAGTCGTTCTAGCTTTTCGCAATTCAACAATTAAGAATAAATGACACTAAGCTGCTTAACATCAGCCTTTTTATTCATACAGTGATCTGTCATGAAACTGTGGGACACTTCTAACAGACAAGGAACAACAACTCTCAAAACGTCTGTTTTTAGCCTCATCGCTAGAACCATTACTATTCAGATATCACATGAGAACTTCTTCCTCCAAACTTTGCTGAAATGTGAAACTACAGTAACCCCACAGGTATATTGTCATCATTGCAGTCTCGAAGCTGTCTACATGAACTGTATTTCTGAGGCAAGATCCTTAAACGATAATAAAAAACACGCATGAGGTCATTCCTCAGAATTACGAAGCTCTCCCACATTAAGTTGCTAATAATAAACTATTAGGGCAGGCACTTACTGCCTTCCACCTATGATAAACTCACACATAAATCTACTCGCCGCCTTACAATAAATTTGTATCTACCTAATTCATGGACAACTTTCAGATTGCCCTAACTTTGCGTTTACTCTCAAAGTTAACAGTATGCGGTATCCATTACTAAAAACCAAAAGCACTTTCTACACCATATCTGTGACTACAGGAACGATTATAATGTAAAACATCTCAATTAGGGTCATTTAATCACTTGAGGCTTTCATCTTACTGTGGTACCATTTCCGACATTGTTTCACCTAATACCGTTATTCCCTTAACGAGTCTGCTTGAAGTTATTTACTGTTGCAAGTTTGTCTGTTTCACTCTCCCGCATAGACCATATTTCTCATACGCTCGCGAACTGAATCTTAATCCACCAAATATCGTTATTCTCTGAACAACCTACTTGACGTTATTTTCGTATTGCATGTTGGGGTGCTTCTCTTTCTTGCTTGGACAACACCTCGCAGGTGCTAAGAAAATGTATCCTAATCCGCCTAATTTCATTATTTTTTTAATGTGTCCATCTGCTTGACGTAATTTTAGCATTGAGTGGTGGAATATTTCACTTTCCTCGCAGACGCTGAAGAAATATATCCCAATCCTCCTAATAAAGTCATTCCATGATCGAGTCAACCTGTTTGACATCGTTTTAATGCTGCACGGTGTGGTGATTCCCTCTCTCCTGCATGGACCACATTTTGCAGACGCTCACTGAAATGCATCCTAATTCGCCCAATCACGTTATTCCTAGAGTAATTCAAAACACTTGACGTCATTTTAATGTTGCATGGTGGGGCGTTTCACTCTCTTGAGTGGACCACATTTCACAGATGCTTACGAAATATGATATATCATAATCCGCCCAATATCCATCACTGTTTCAATATACCAACCTCGTTATGTTAGGAGCTCGGTCGGTCCTCACTTTGTCCGATATACAAGTCATAAATTTAAAATATTGTTTCCGTGTATACTTACCACTTTTAGATAAAACAATGGCGTTTTTTTTATACTGCAACTACCACGAAGAGATAACACCCATGGGATACCTTGAGGCTGTAGGGGTATACAGGAGAAAGGGGGAACGCCGCACGGACTCTGGCGAGGGAACCCGTGTGTATGCAACATGCACACCTTCTGGCCCCGCCTACGAGATCCGCCGGATGGTACCTCTGCGTTCGACAGTCAGAGACCGTCTACCACCTACGGACAATTAAAACATCCATAGCCAAGGGAAAAAATTCTCTTGGGACGGGATTCGAACCCCACAGCGCACGGCGACTAATCAGGAGACCGAAGAGTCTACTACTGCGGCCACCGCTGCTGCCAGATCATGGCTAAAACCACCTTTGTAGCTGCAAATACGAGTAACGGGCAAAGTCCGCAAAAAGAAGGAAAGTGGATTCGAGCAGAAAATAGGTTAGATAGCCCGAACAGTTCATATTTCTGCTTGTTGGCTTCATCAGGCCCGAAATGAATGCACATATATGCATCCACAAAAGTAGATACATATGCCCATACATCCGGATATGGGTGTAACCTGAGGAAACGAAGATGGAGAGGGAAATAATAACACACGAAGTTTCCAATAAGAGCCAACCTACGCATTGTGGTATAAAATACCTCGAATTTTCAAGGCGACATCTAACCACAACAGCGGGGCCGGTTATAGCCACTTGCTGTGGTACTTCTCGAATCCACTTTCCTACTTCTTGTTATACACCTTTCTCCACATGATCATTTTCTCTTTGTAGACCCTTTGGGCTTAAAGTACTACAGCAAGTGGCTATAACCGACTGCGTGGTTGTGGTTATATGTCACCTGGAAGACTCGAGGTCATCTAGCCATTTTATACTACAATGTGTAGGTTGGCTCTTGTTTGGGACTTAGTGTGTAATTTTTTCTCTCTTCATCTTCGTTTCCCCAGGTTACACCAGTATCAGGATGTATGGGCATGTATATCTACTTTTGCGGTTGCATATGTGCAGTGGGTAAACCGCTGAGGATGTCTGGTGTACAAACCGTGGGATGTCCGGGGATGTCCCTGGATATTTGGGGATATCCTGGTATTTCCTGGGGTGTCCTGCGATGTTTATGGGACGTCCAAGGATGTCCGAGGATGTCCAAGGATGTCCGAGGATGTCCAAGGATGTCCGAGGATCTCTAGCTGTGTTCAAGGGATGTCCGGGAAGTACCATTGATCCAACAAGCCATGTGACCGTACAGCGCATGCACAGTTGCCGATTTATAATACATAACCTCACTTTTGGCGCGCCTCACCAGACGTCAAGTTTATAAGGTTTGCTGCATGCATATCACAATAAAATGGGATGTAAAAAAGATTGCTTGGAAGAAGTAGAATGCGATCTAGAAAAAACCATACCAGAATTTATAACATATTTTTTTGAAAATGAAAGGATTCGATACTGACCGATTACTAGCTGTCGGACTAAGATATAGTGGAAATTGAAAAGTTTACTAGAGAAATAATGACTTTCGTGATTTCCGAGGATAAACGTGACCACTTAAGAAGATATATATATATATATATATATATATATATATATATATATATATATATATATATATATATATATAGGAAGCTGCTTTAAACTTATATATATATATAAAGAGAAAATAGTCATGCGGAGAAATGTATCTAACAAAAAAATAGGAAAATAATGGGCAAAATCCGCAAAAAGGAGGAAAGTGGATTCGAGCAGAAAATAGGATAGGTAACCCGAGCGATATGTATTTCTGCTGGTTGGCTTCATCAGGCCCGAAATGAATGCACATATGCAACTACAAAAGTAGATACACATGCTCATACATCCGGATACGGGTGTAACCTGGACTTCGTGTGTGATTTTTTCCCATCCATCTTTATTTCCTCAGGTTATACCCGTATCCGGATGTATGAGCATGTGTATCTACTTTTGTAGTTGCATATGTGCATTCATTTCGGGCCTGATGAAGACAACCAGCAGAAATACGTATCGCTCGGGTTACCTATCCTATTTTCTGCTCGAATCCACTTTCCTCCTTTTTGCGGATTTTGCCCATTATTTTCCTATTTTTTTTGTTAGATACATTTCTCCGCATGACTATTTTCTCTTTGTAGATCCTTTGGGCTTGAAGTACCACAGCAAGTGGCTATAAACGGCCCGTGGTTGTGGTTAGATGTCGCCTTGAAAATTCGAGGTCTTCTAGCTATTTTATACTACAATGTAGGTTGGCTCTTGTTGTGGACTTCGTGTGTAATTTTTCCCATCCATCTTTATTTCCTCAGGTTACACCCGTATCCGGATGTATGAGCATGTGTATCTACTTTTGTAGTTGCATATGTGCATTTATTTCGGGCCTGATGAAGCCAACCAGCAGAAATACGTATCGCTCGGGTTACCTATCCTATTTTCTGCTCGAATCCACTTTCCTCCTTTTTGCGGATTTTGCCCATTATTTTCCTATTTTTTTTTTGTTATATATATATATAGGAAGCTGCTTTAAAGTTGCACTGGAGATAAGGCAAGCACAATAGCCATAATAATGCAAAGCTGCTTACCTTTGCCATAATCATCTGCCTTGAACCTCAAAAATGAAGTAATTTCTCTAGACAAAGGCAACAATAATCTACAAAGTCACATTGTCGTTTGATAGGGTAGAATCATCAATTTGAATACTTTGCTACGCTGCGCTCTTGTGTGTCTAGCATCCTGTGATTTCAAGTTAATAATGTACTGCTAATTAAGGATCGTTCTGTACCCCTGGACGATCCCTGTGAATTTTTAAAAGGAGCCATACAGAGGACGACCCTCATCAGCAGCAAATGAGCGGGACTTAGCCAGAGATAATCCCTATATTTTCATAATCCGGCATGAAATAACGTAGCATGTATATACCTGATTAACAAATGGGGTAGGTCAAGCTTTCAACGGACCACAAAAAATGTATTACAATATCTAGAGTTGCCACTTGAGTGGCAAGTGATACTTAAGTAGTGATTGTCTCTTGGATGTTGGATAAATGACCCACAGTCAAGTGGGCCTGAGGGTAGTTTCGGCAGTTCGAAATGAAACTCGACTGCTGTCTTCAGTTGCTAGCTAAAGCACAAGAATTCCTTTTATGAGTTTTTGCAGATATACTTCATGGGAGGAATGGCACACCCCTACTTCGGAATTAAAACTTTAGGAGTTGCGACCCCCATATTTTCAAACAATAAGGCAAAATTATTATTACAATTTGACCTGAATCTGACTAAAAGTGGCAGTAGAGTTATATTCCGCCATGCTTGTTTGGCTAATGAAACCACATGTATTAAAAGACCTTTTTTACTGTAGTAAACGTTTCAATCACAAATGTGATCTTCTTCAGTACAATGACAATTATATTTGATTTATCAGTCTTCCAGGTGACAGTTCGTGCTTTATGCTATATGACATGGACATCACAAAAAAAGATGTCACTCATTTCCGTCGGTCTGTCTCTCTGTGAGTCTGTCCGCTAATTTTATAACCGCTCATAATTTGTCAAGCACCGCTCGGACTTTGATGAAATTTTCACGCAGGATTTACTATGCTAAGGACGAAAAAGCTTTGGAGTTTTTGAAAATTGGTCTAGTAGTGGCAGACCTAGGGACAAAAAAAATTAATTCGCTTAAACTTTGATTCTTGACGTTCAGAGGCTCCTGATCATTGTAGATTTTTTCTTTGTAGAGGTTAAAACTTAAGAGTTGAGGGTTACAGGTGGTAGGGGGTTGCAAATGTAACATGCATAGTATTACTCAAACACGATCTGTCATTAAGACGATTCTGATCCCGAGAACAACGGGAAAATTAAATGATAAAAGTCCAATGTATAATCTACTCGTAATTGAGATGGTGCATCGTGGATGCCACTGCTGATTGTGCATTGGGTAACAAACTCCAACTAGTCTGCGGTGCTGTCGTGATCACCACAGCACTACAGGAGAAACATTTATCTATATATTTTGCCAATATTTGTATATTAGGAGTACGTACCAGTTTATCGTTTTGTGATGCTTTCGTGAATTATGACTTAACTTTTTTTATATCTGCACAAATATTTTTCTCAATTTTATCCATTATCACACTCCTATTCGGTCTGTTTATTACATTAGTCAGAAAGTCCCGTAACATGCTAACATTGGGCGAAGTCATCATTCCAATTTTAAGACGGGACCACGCACAATCAGCAAATCAGCATATACTCCTAGTCTAATCATATTAGACAAAAATACCCTTGGTTTGCGAACAATTTTAAAATCTGGTTTTATTGCTGCAAGTTGTTCAAGGAGGTATTTAAAATATGGACGCATAAAATGGGTACCCCAATTTTTGTGGGAAAACTTTTTAATCGGCAACAAGGAATGAGAAAACGTGTTTTTTGGGATTCAATCGAAAGTGTTGGCGGGAACAAAAAGGCTCTTTAGATTCTTAAGTATTTCTGAGACCTACAGAATGAGACTATACGTAAAAAGATCCGACTAATAGCAAAAAAGTTATGGCCGAAAACCGAAGCAAACTGCAGGTTTTGACACTTGTTGGTAATGCGACGATGTGATATATGAAATTCTTCAAATTTGTAGGATTCGTACTTGTAAATAACCACAACAAAATTGGAGTAGATTGGTCAACTATTTTTTGGAGATCTTTAATTGTTTATCCCAAAAGACCTGTTTTCCGGCCATCATTACTAGTTTATTGAGCAAAATATTTAGGATTAGTTCAAGGGCACTTTATAGCAAAATACACTAGTTCACCTTGCCGATATGAATCGCAAGCCATTCCGGAAGATAAATGTTATTTTTATGCAGGAAGGATAGGTTACGTTTTTTTTTCTTCTAAACTAATTCAAACATTTCGTTGTGAATTCGCAGCAAAAGATGATAGACACATCCGATTTGTTTTGATATGTGTATAATAACGTATGTTTTTCGAATATCGTGGCGCATTTGTTCAATTACTCACAAATACAAAATTTTTGACCTTATTTAGAAGAAAAAAATGTTACCTTTGTTTTTCGCTTAAAAATGACTTTTATATTTCGGAATGGTTTGTGACTCATATCGGCAAGTTTAACATATTTTGCTATTAAATGCTTTTTGAACGAATCGTGTATATTGCTCAATAAACTAGTAGTGATGGCCGGTGTTTTGGGATAAGCAATTAGAAATTTCCATAAAACTACTTGAACAATA